AGTGTATTTGTTAAATTCCAATTTCCATTACTTAATTATATACATGAGTAATATGCACAACGAAAATTTGAACTAATTCGCATGAGTATTTCTCATGTTATAGATGAAATAATTTTCTCAATTTCTGACAACAAATTCTATGATGTCATACTTTACCCATAATCCTTTGCTTGAGAATCAAGATGGCTGACTACATAATAACGATGAAAAGTTGAATATCTAGAGAATGAGAACTGATATAAAAAAAGTGTAAATTGCATTCTCCTACATTTGTGAAGCTTTTTCTTTAGGGGTCATTATGTTGTTTGGATTGAGGTTCCCTTTAAGAGAATGTATTCATTGCCATAGGGACATGTGCAATAATTAGCAGTGTGACTAGTTTTCTCCCACATCCAAGCTTCAGAAGATATACACATTGCCTAAGGACATAAGTTACTGTAAAATATAGAAAAAAAGGTATATTCGCTGGATTTTATTTTCACTGAATCATTCCTTCAGCGAAAATAGCAAAAATAAATTCCAAGCGAAAATAAAGTATTTTACAGTACTGGCAGTGATTGTTACCTCCTATAGAACATGTTTAGAGATGCATGTATAGTCTGGAAGCCAGGAACAGCCACTGGTGGCGCTGTATACAATCAAGACCTATTGAGGCTTGTCGTAGCTAATGTAGATTTGAGTGTAAACCGCAGAAAGTTTAATTTGGTGACCAGTTTAGAATGATAGAAAGTTTTGTCTTTAAACCACAATAGACAGTGTGGGTCAAGACAGAGTATAGGTGATTTCAGCGTTTCACACTAAATGCTTTCTATTAATAATTTCACTTACAAATAATATTCATGAGATGTCATAAACTTGTTAAAGTTTATTAGCATATTGTGTACGCAGTGCGCATCTTTTTCCGTATTCCAAAATGCATGCGTCATCACAGTGAGGTCAATTGAAGTCCACGTTCCATGCAGCAGTCAACGAGCTTTCACTACATTGGTGCTGAAGGTTGTATTCGAAGCCCACAAATAAGCGTCACTACCAGATATATACAACAGCTTACAAGCCAACAGCTGAGGATTTGTACATACCGATACTCCCACCATATGTCATACACTGTAATATGCAATTCTGGTTTCTCACAACTCTGGATTTTGTATTATTCCAAAGTGCCTAAGTACCAAACTCACAGGAATGTGATCATTGATTATGAAGATATTTATACAAATCAAGAAATTGGTATACCAGATTTTTTCAACCACAAACTAGTCTTATTCACATTGCCCTGGAGCACATTGGTACAATTACTGGCAGTACCGGTACTTAAAATTTGAAGGTGGGGGTCCCCAAAGATTATTAGGATTTAGTTAATTAGGTATTATGGTATAATCTGTATTAAAAGCCGCGGCTTCTATTAAAATGGTACATTGCAACAGAAGGAATGCGGCTTCTATTAGAGCATCTCTAAATATGAGAAATAATAAATGTTTGGTTTTCAATTGTTCAAAAAGAATGGATGCAGCTTCTAATACAGATTTTACGATAATGCGCCTACATACTGGTAGTTTCAGAGCATGCATGCATTAAGTCTCATTAAAGTTCACTAATAGATTTTTGAGATAAGGCCAGACTTTTTTTGTTCCTGGTTTCTCAAGTTTTTATAAGGCAATTTTTTGAGAAGGGCGGAAAAAAATGAAATTAATTCTTTTTTCCCATTAGACTTGTGGGATTCTCAAAGAATTGCAAGTGAGATCATTGATCGGAGAGAAGAAATTTTATTCCATGTATAACCTTGTTTCTCATTTGCGCGAGACCTTGGTACTTTAATCTTGATACTCCCACGAAAATGCAACTTGGGTTTGTTATGCGGCGGGCGGAATAAAAAATGAAGATAAAAATAAGTTTTTTTTTTAGCAATTTTTTGCAGTCTGGCGTGAGAAATTACGCTGAAATAAAATTTTATTTCATTTTTGGCTCCTGTTCATTCACGGGGTTCGCGAAACAAGGGATAATAAAAATCTGGCCTAACGGGAGACACACATGGGTAACATACAAGCGCATTACGTCTAATGATCAAACCCAGATAGTTGTATATACATGATACAACAGAATAGCTTTCATGGTAGCCTGACAAGTTGGTGTAGGTGGGGATCGCAGCAGTCCAGAGCGCCACCTACGCCAAATTGTCAGGCTACTTTCATGGGTAATCTACAAATAAAACATACTTTCAAACCATCGCCACACTATAAGAGTAATGAAACTTACACAAGATTTATTTTTCAAAACTAGTTTTATTATATTTTTTTTTTACAAAGGTGGAGCTATTAAATGTTATTTTCCTCCATAAATACAAATGAATATTTCAGCGACTGGTTAAACAATTATTAATATTGGATGCATTGACATTTAGTTGTATCGAGACTGCAGTTACCCAGGTAATGAAAGAACAAGCATCTTAGCATGGCTTATTTTGTAAATGTACAATAGAAGTGAATAACAGATTTAAATCATGAAGTCTGAAACCAAAATGTTAATATCAATATGGTTTAGTGTCCCTGTAGCACATCTATCGATTGATTGATTGCATTTCCATGAATGAACCTGTCAGATTTAGTTTAGCCCAATAGTCTCGGGATTTATAATATAAAATTGTTTAAATATTTCTAGAAACTCCAACTTGCGCAAAATGATTACTTGTATCCAGAATATAACATTCAGTGAGCTACTCAGCAAAATTATCAAATTTGACCATGAACCTAATTGACATATAAACCATCCTATTTTTGGATGTGCACATGTTGATATGAATAGTACACAGCATGGCCTTTTTATCCACATCTGAATGAATATACATTTTTTTTCTATTGGCACGTTAATTTGAACAATGATACACACGTACGTACATAAACAAACAGCCTGACACGACACGATAGGATAGGATAGGATTCAATTCAACTCAGCAACCCCCCCTTTTCACAGGGTCAGTTATTTTGATAAATTCACGATGAATAAATTGCACCTATAAATGCAAGCCATTTATGCCTATTCAAAACCAGTTCACGCCAGGGTTAACTGCAATGACAGATGACCAACTAAATCACTGGTTATTATACAAGATCATGTCAAAGAGTGATACAATACAATAGTTCAATTTTTGAAAAAAAATTATGAAATGAGTAATTGTGTGGACTAAAGTCTGGTTTGAAAGCCATGACATTTATAACCTCATATACTTGGAACCACTTTACAATTGATTATAAACACCAAAATGCTATTGAAAATAATAAATCACATAACTATATTTGTATATATACAACACACAATTGAAATGAAAATTCAGAATACAGAGACAGGCAACTGTGGCAAACATGAAGGGAGAGAGTTTAGGTAAGACTATGCATACGATTTTTTTTTCGTGCTTTTGACGCATCAACGGACGCATTACTATTAACTTTTTTTTTGGTGTTTGATGTTACTTTCACGTTACAGTTGCTTGTCCCTGTGTTTAGTATATTTGCTAAAATTCATGCATAATAAATTAATCTATCATATTTCATGTACAGTTGAAATGATGTATATTATTATTAATTGTTGCTATTCTAGAAATCTGTCAAATTAAGATTTATAATAACCACCCAAAAACTACCTACACATGAAGGTAGGAAATACAAAATGTGTGCAATTACAGAAATCAAACATCCAGATTTTCCCCAGTCAATGTGATCAAATACTGAGCATCTCAGTAATCGACAAGAATATACATATTAAAAAAAAGAAAAGTATCCTCAAATTCTGGAAGGAATATCCAATAGGGGGAAAAATTCAACTCCAATCTAAGTCAACACGCGAATATTAGGGCAACACATTGATGGCATTTGTTGGGTTAAGAGCAAAGAGCACTAAAGTTTTAGTATAATTATAACCATATTGGCTTTAAAAGCATAGATATGCCACAACCATTTCAGATACAATAGGTCAGTATGTGTATTCTTAGGTAAGCATTCAGCTTCGTCTAAATGATAGATAGATAGAAAGAAAGCGCAAATACGGAAAGTGCGTTATTTTATTAACTGTGTAATAAAGGATATATATTAAACATAGAAGTGGTATTGCTGATAACGAGGGCAGTCAATCTATAGTCATGCCACAATATAGGAATTTATATATCTTGTATGAGGTGAATAACTCTTCATTATTATAGACTACCATTTTATTGAGCCAATATCAAAGATTCAATACTGCCACATGATCATTTTTTACAGGTATTTCAAGAGTTAAATGGATGCGAAAACACTTAACATAAAATAATTTCTATATACATTCTAAGAAATCTATTGAAGATCACATGTGAAAATCTGGAATTATTTACATTTAACATACAGCAAAGCTATATCAGTAACTGTTTGGGTGTCATTATCACTGAGAAAAAGTTCATGAATGGTATTGTAAAGCAAAAAATGATTTGTAAATATTATTACTATACATCTGTCACCGTAACGCCATAAGTTACAGGTGCCGTAATTTTGCGGTATTTTACGGGGTATTTTCATACTACTATATTTGGAAATGCGAATTCCAAATATGGAATGATTAGGCGCGTAAGCGTTCTCTAATAATAAAAACAAACGTGGCTGCCACCAGGATTTGACCGAACTCCATACAAAGAAGTTCGCTGATTCTGTTCTAAACTTTTTGGATTTCGGCATTTCCATGATGTATCCTTGAAGGGAAAAGATGTATAATAATAAGGTTATTACGTAGATACCTCAAAGTATGCACTCAGACAGCACGCTGTCGCATCGACATCCGCTGCGCGTCGGTCGATACTGCCGCTGTACTGTCTTTGTGCATACTTTGAGGTATCTTCGTAATAACCTAATTTTATGCCTAACTTTGAGCATGTAGATGTAACACAATATAATCAAAGTTGGATTGAACACTGGTCATGGTCTGGTATGCCTTGATTAAACTATCATAGTCTTTGGTTCTAATTTAAATGCTTAAATTTACATATGCATACAAGATCATTGTGCAATTCAACCAATCATAGATGTCTCTTTACTATTATATGGCAATTCATCATTAAGATTTCGGGTTCAGATGAAGGCACACATCAAACCATACTCATTACACTGTTATGTAAAAAAGTTTTGTGAATGAAGAGAACAGAGGAAAGCTTGGCAGGAAAAAGAAGTGTAGCACACAAAATTAATCTGGATTTAAATGTTTGAAATGTTTACAATAATGTAAATCTGCATATTTTATTTTACAATATCAAGGTGTTGAAATCAAGAAATTGCAACAAAAAAAGAACTTTACGATAGAATTACGAAAAGCAAGGAAATTACAGAAACAAAAAATTCAGTTCAAAGGCAACGTAGTAGTGATGTGGATTTACATTGTGTGACCATTTAAGACCCATGTCTTTTGGCGCCAGATGAAGATTACCACTCGTCTTTGCCGTGTACAGTTTGGATTGTTTACCAGTGTAATCTTGATGAACTTATGGTAAATGACATGGGCATTTAAACAATATAGTGTTAGTATTACTATAGTATAATTTATAAATGTGAATACCCAACTGTCCTACTACCGGGGTAGATCAATCAATAATCCCAATTTCAGTTTCTTTTTTCTTATTTTCCCGTGATATACGCACTGAAATATCAGTGGTAGACTCTGCACTGTTTGCTGTAATCTCTTGTGTATTTTTTACATGTTGAACAGACAAACTATTTGTTGATACAGTTATGTTTTGTGGACAAACAGCAGAAACAGATTTAACACTTGATTTGTCTGGATTTGCGGACCTGCTTAGATCAGCAGTTGGAGATTTGAGCATCGACAGTAGAGTCAGTTGTCCTTTTGGAGACTCGACGTTGCTAGTGGATAAAGATTTGTCAATTGCTGGACTCTTGTCATTTTCATCAACCATAAAGCAGTCATCATCATCGTCATCATCATCATCACTCTCTGAGTCTGCAGTATATCCGGGGTCACTTTGCAAGCTGACTTTACAAGTCTGATTCTGGAAAGCACTGAGTATCGTGTTTTTGTTTGTTTTTGGTGTCACTTCGTCTATTTTAGCTTTCTCAAAAAGACTTGATGGGGACACTGGTTTAGCAAACTGCATGATGTTGGGAATAGCTTTCCCCGAGACTGGCTTCACAGTCTCTTCATTTAAAGCAAAAACATCACCTACAGGAATTGCATGTTTAGGTGTTTTAGTAACGTAATTCCACTGATTAGGAATGGGAAGTTCAGTTAGTTTATATTCCTCAAGTATATTTTGATGGACGTACCAACAGACATTCTTACAACCAGCTCTCTTCTCTCTCACAGCAATGGCATTAATCTTAATATCTAACTGACGTTTTGAGATAATGTAATCTTGACTCTGATCAATAAATTGTTGCTCCAGTGGTGTTGATGGTCTACTTTCGACTGGTGTACCAGGACGACTTCTTGTCGGAGTTGAGAGAGTTTCGATCATTGGGTCTTTCTTCAAATTTGATTCATCAGGTTTGGTGATAACTTCAGTGTCCTCACCATCACCAGCATTGACTTTTTTATTCCAATGTTCACGGAACTCTTTGATTAGAACTTTGATACCACTCCGATTGCCATGGATAAGGCTGATAAGATCAGGGAGTGCTATAAATAAAGAAATTAGAAAACAAATTAAAGTGCTCATTGAAATTGAATTGAGAAAAACAAAGGAAGAAACCTTATTTACTAAAAACATACATCTTTCAATTTTTTTCAGTAGCCAACCATTGCTGTAAATGTGATATGTGATTTTAGAAGCACACATCCATAAAATGTATGTATGAGATTTTACAAATCAGTAACAAAATAAAAATATTTTAATAATGGACTTGATTTCAGATACACATATTAACTTGAACATACAATACTACACTTTTTCATCTCACTCTCGTAACAGGATGGTGCATGGCATTTTTTGTACACTAAACTTGCTCAATTAATGATTGCAAAAATTTGTATAACAAAGGTGTGTGAAAGAAAAAACGGTATTTGTTTTCCAACGGTCAGATATTTATACACTGAAGTTATTTGCAGTAATATGTATAGTTTATTGTTTTCAATATACCCATCGTCCTACTCGCGCGGTCCCGTGTCTTCGACTTCTACACAATACCGTGCGGGATCACATAGGGTAATTGCGTATCTTAAGCAGTAAGATCTGATTGGGCGCGCCTTGAAACAAGGCGCCCAATGTGCTTGGACGTACCAAATTAAAAAACAAAATTCCACTTCCTGTTTTTGTCGGCATCCTTCCCACACAAAACTGCATTGATTGCCTGTACCTGATGAGGCTTGAGAGCACCAACACCGGAAACTTTTGCAATTTTATCATCACAAATATCACGATTCATGGGCACCGCCATTTTGTTTAAAATGAAATGCCAAAGAGGGATTTGTAACACGCGAACTGATCAGACAATAATTAGCCGCAACCGACTACTAGGGGCACTGTTAGAATAAGCATATTTGATGGTCGTTCTGCCAAGGTCTGTTTAGAGGCTTGGCCGAATAAACTTAGACCTTGGCTAGCGAAGATGAATATACCAGGATAAAAACTTTCCACCATCAGATGACAGACATCTTTGAATTATGGGATATCATCATAATTGTTCAAAAGGATTCACCAACAAATATACACTGACGTGAACAAAAATGCTACTCATCTTACCTTCCTTTGGCACTGGTTTCTTATTACTTGTTGTACTCCTGGAAAGCGACTCCGATCCAAAGTCAATACTTTCTCCTGTCGTCTTCATAGTGAAGCTGGTAGGTACGGGTACAGAAACGAAAGACAGTATTTTAAACTTTTCTAATTTTTCATGAGTTTTTTCACCTGCCCAGATGCATCCAATTATAACTGGTTCTTTGGGTTGCGTTTGACGTCTCAATTCTGCCTCCCACTGAGTAGCCTTGGCTGCTCTTTTGACTTTGAACGATTCCAGGTCATCAGCCTGTAAATGAGTCAAAAACATAATTGAAAACCATACATTGTATGGTTAATTTACTCCACAAAATTGCTACTTATAAAATTTCAAAATGTATTTTTCAAGGATGGTTTGAAAGATCATGGAATATCATTTTGCTAAAATCATTTTGCTAATATCATTTTGCTAAAATCAGGGGATTGGCATACATAAAAAAAAAAAGAGATCTGATTTTATACAATTTATAGTTCTTCCAGCTGCATTTTCCCATTTTATGTCTTTTTTTAATCATCATTGGTCAAGTAATTTAGTGGCATTATACACAGAAATTTTCTTCACCACCCCTGAAAAGTCCACACAGAAAATGTTGAGAGTGTGGTCTAACAATGAATGAAAACCATCTTATGATGGTGATTAAAAACAAAATCAGGATATAAATGAATTATGCACAACAAACCCAATACAGTTTACCGATTAGGTCAAAAATCAGAATATATTTTCATAGAGATCTTTACCTCTTCATCACAACCCTCATTTTCTGATAAATATCCATGAGGAACAAAAAATCCATCATCATCACCACTATCATCACTTCCTTCATTGTTATCATCTTCACCCTACAAAATACAAGTGTACACAATTCAATATTTGTTCTATCAGGAAGCATTTTTTATTTGCAACATTACAAATCATACATAAGAACACAGGTTTCTGGTCAAAATAAGATGCATTTAAAAAAATAAAATTTTTGGTTATCATGTGTACATATAATAGAGGCTTTCAACAGGCAATGTGCAATAGAATGTATTATACTCAACTAATTTACCAAATTTTAAGTCACAAATTATGTGTGAGGGTGGATAGTATACGGTACAATATAATTAAAGAATAACCAGCAATAGCAAGTGTGTATATGGTGTGACATTTTCAAAATCAAGTGGTATAATCGTTGATTGTTATTCACAGACACAGAAATAACTGGTTAAAAGAAATGGGCCCTGGAACTAGCGTACATCGAGTATAGATACACAGAGCAGTGGTGGATATTCACACTTTATCTCGGGGTCAGTGTGTTTATTCGAGTAGTTTTATGCTAGCGGTAATGATATAATCGTCATAATTTCAAAAAAAACGTTTGATTAGCACAGTACACTCACTGTACTTCCAAAGCCGCTGCATAAAATAACGTGTTTGATGATTTCAGTTGACAAAAGAATTTAACCTTACTGTGATATTTACGTTTGGGGCCTACTTCTAAACATACTAGTAATTACATGTTAGTAATTTAGAGTGGCTTGCATAAATTAAAACCACTTCTTAACCAATCACAATTGAGCATTTACAGGCATGACACACTGGTAAAATATAATGTATAATATTGGATAATGCATTGAACCATGGACAGTAACTACCATACCTCTGAATGTGATAAACTCTCTCCAGGCTCCTCCCATTCATCATCACTGTCAACTTCATAATCTAAAATTTCCTGTAAGAAAAATTATGCATTGAAAACTCACAAAGAACAATGAAGTTGATCAAATTATTATTTTTACACAAGAAAACAGTATGCTTATCTGCACAACAAAGACACTTGGGAGGTGATAAAAACATTGTCCAATAAGCTAATTTATTTTTTCAAGCATAGATCTAGAAAAAAAAATGTTATAACAAAATGATATTGTTTACAACACTGTACAAGTATTTACCCATTCACACATACCTCGTCTTTAGCAAGTGGTTTCCTTGGCTTCACAATATTAGATTTCTTCCCAAATGATCCCCAATAAGCCGGTCTGTGGTTTTCATGAAACTGGAACAACTTCCCTTTCATCCTATAAACTTTTTCATTGACTTTCTTTTTCTCACTTGGTTTACTGGACAACTCTTCAATAACTTGGATGTCATCTGTTTCCATGGACACAGTCTTCTCACTAATAGAGTACAAATGCAGTTTGCGAGTAAGCAGCAGCTGATGATGAAAGCACTGATAACTGACCTGCTGTGCAAGTAAAATCTGACCCCAATCAGTGTTCTCCCATAAGCAAAGATGTTTTACCATCTAGGCTAATTAAGACTAAATTCAAGTGTTATGTAAAATTTGTCAAGTCTTTATATTAAAATGTACATGTTTAAATATCTCTGGGGTACAACACTTCCTTCTGTTGTGGAATTGACACTGGTGCATCACTAAAATGTTTGTTGTGCCCTTTTTATTTCAACCTGTTTCTGAATAGTTGCATGTAAAATATAGGGAACATGTCATTGACAATGATAAGTTCCAAGTTTTTGATTTTATTTGAACAGGTACTTATAATATATTATCTTGCCTTTGTACTTTTCTCTGAATGAGAGTTCTTCCAGATTTCCCTGGTTTATGTTTACCACTCTTGATGTCATGTAAGTATGCAATTGTTGAATTCTGAAAAAAGGAAATATGAAATTTGGTACTATAAACAGTTTTCATTTTATGAAAAACAAATCTTCACAAATTTTGTGAGTCAGTGTAAATCACAAAATTTTGTTACAATGAAAATTTTTCCGGAGTCCCAAGACATGAAGTGACTTGAATCAAATTTTGTCATAAATCCTGAAATCACAAAAATGAAAATATTTACAGTATTTATCATCAAGCTGCAACAATTTGAATATTTTAAAATGATGCAGAATGTGAAGGAGTGTAACAACAGTTCTGAGAATTATTTGGACAGTCAGTGAGCAAGATATTTGGTAATTACTTGACTTTGCTTTGCTTTTGATTGACAGAAGTGCTGTCAGAGATTCATTATCATACGGGTGGTTAATTTTTGCAGTATTATCCAGGGTAAATCTATTTTTTTTTTTATCTCAGAACTGCTGAATTAATTTGCAGTAACAAAGCTAAATTTTTTGTTCATTTGAATGTACACTAAGAAGCACAATGAGATTATTTTATCAGGAATCTCATCAGGTCAGCCTTAGCGACCATCAAGGAAACAACTGCAGACCAAGACAATTTTCCAATTGCCAGTCATGGATTTTGAAAATGTTTCGAATTGTTATATATTTCAAATCCAAATATTAAATTCTCCATGGAATTCATATTTGATTTCTAATTTGTAAAATTATTGCTTGGATATATTTGACTTCATATGATGTAAATTCAATGGTATCACATTTATTAAATAAAAAAATCAAGTCATTGAAAATGACACAGTCCCCGTTAAGTTCTCTTTGTGCTTGTCATATTAAAGCGGAGGGGTTGTCGCGAGCGTGTCCTTGAAACTTGAGTTCCAACAGATTGTTTATTTACATCAAAACACGCGTTTCTTGTCATAGTAATATGGCCAAAATAAAAACAGCCGTTATTCAGCCATCTTTGATCTGATTATGAAACACACTGATATGTATGATGTCTGTGCCAAATACGAACGAAAATGGTACATAAATTGTGGAAATATAGTAGTAAGGCCAAAAAGTCAGATGGCTGTCAATCGGCCATCCTTGACCAAATTTTGAAACAAATTGTCATGGACATGCATCCTAACATGTATAAAGTACATGTATGTGCCAATTTTGAATGAAAACTGACAGAGCATGTCCAAGATACCGCATAAAAAAACAAAAACAAGATGCCTGCCAGTCGACCATCTTTGATCCAATTGCGAAATAAATCGTCATGGACATGCATCCTAACATGTATAAAGTACATATATGTGCCAAATTTGAATGAAAACTGACAAAGCATGTCCAACATACAACATTTTCAAAAAACAAGATGGCTGCCAGTCGGCCATTTTGAATCGAATCGCTAAACCACTGCATGTGCATATGTCCAACATAAGGTACTAGGCACATGCAAAGAATGAACGGAATCGGTCCACAGGATTCTGAAATATGACGTTGGATAGACTGACGCACGGACAGACCAACACACGGATGGTTGGACGGACATACTCAGGAACTCACGGACGGTCGGGGACATGTATCCTAACATGTATGATCTATGTACTAATATTTGAATGAAAACTGACAAAGCATGTCCAAAATACGACATTTTTAAAAAACAAGATGGCTGCCAGTCGGCCATCTTTGATCCAATTGTGAAATAAATCATCATGGACATGTATCCTAATATGTATAATCTATGTACCAAGTTTGAATAAAAACTGACAAAGCATGTCCAAAATACAACATTTTCAAAAAAACAAGATGGCTGCCAGTCGGCCATTTTGAATCGAATCGGTAAACCACTGCATCTGCATATGTCCCACATAAAGTACTCGGAACATGCAAAGAATGAACGGAATCGGTCCAAGGGATTCTGAGATATGACTCCGGACGAACGAAGACCGAATTATAAGTCCCCGTTTTCTGATTTCGTCCGAACGGGGACTAAAAAAAGATGGCCGCTCACTGTTACTGCAAACTGATTGATTCAATGTCGTCGTACATCGTCCTGTGGCTTTAATGATTCGTCAAGAACGTGTTCATTAGCTTTGATAGGCTTTAAGCAAAAACTACATCGATGTGGCTCGATTGACATCGTGTACTTTCATGTTGAGTACGAATGTTTTTCCTTCCGTGAATTCGATTCATAAGTTCAACATATTTAATATAACATATTTATTAATCTTTTATTTAAAAAAAAAATATCTCTTTTACTCCGTTTCGGCTATGTTTTTTGGGGCACATTTGCACGTTTTATATTAAGTTAAACACTTAATACACGAATGGTACTTAATTCATAAATCTGCGTTTGAAAATTAAACATATGATTTGAAGGTGGAATGTATTTTACATCTAGAATCGTTAGGCCTAAAAAAAAAAGGCGTGTTTCAGGTAACGAGCTAGAAAAAAATAGGTAGGGTAGGTCAGATTTCTTTTTTTTTATTAATCTTTTCTTTTTTGCATTCAAACAATTTCGACAAGTTGAAATACAATTTGCTGAAAAAATATAATTAGCATGAATATATTTTGAGATGATAAATCTTTATATTGGTCAAAATTGCTCACATGGGCAACTGATATTAGTTACATTTGTAGTTTCAAATTAATGACACAACCAAGATATCAAGTATCATACTCAATGGATCTTGTTGATCTCAGAATTCAAAAACAGCCATTGAGGACAATTGTTGATATCTAGTTCAACTGAGGCCAACTAAATAGAATGTGAAAAAAGACAAGTTTCAAAGATGTTCAAGTTTTATTCAAGTTTCCATGTTCAATGTTCATTTATTTATAGGGTCTCGTGCAGCATGGGAGATACCCTTCACTGGTGCATGCAGCTCATCTTTCCTTGATACAAAATGTATACCTGCTGCATTCTTCACGTCCGAACTGTAAACAAATATTAA